TTGGTCATTTAAGACATTTGTTGACATGGGGACTTTTAATGGATTATCCTGCTTTTCAACAATGCTGGCAGGGTAATGACCTTACTGGTGGGCACAGAACAATAATAAAGATGGAGATTTTCTTTCAGTATTTTCAAAAAATATAAAGTTATGAAACATTTTTACACTATCCAGTTCAATGTGCATTTCCAGTATACTTTTGTGTGATGGTGAGAAGCTAGGGACCTTCTAATGGGTCACTAATGAAATGGACTCCAACTCCCACTCTAGATCCCTCACTCATAATCCACAAGAATTAATTTAACCTGCCAGATGCTACCCATTTAGCAAGCTGAAAGAAAACAGTGCCCCCCAATGCCTGTAGCCCTTGTCCATTGTGATTGCTGTTACTGATTCCATTCTATAAGTGAGTCAGATGATTTAGATACATATATGTTTACTAATGCAATGGGTATGTTTTTCTTGGCCAGGCTCAGTATATTATTTGTGTTCTTGTCAGGGAGAGCTACCACTGAATCTTTTCCTGCTGTATTTTAACACTCAGGAACTGGTTGTGCAAAGTTTATTTGCATCTTTCTTGCATTGCATGGGAGCATCCTTGAGAATATTTTATCAAGATTTGCTAGTATTTTTTTAATATTTAAAAATCAGTATCATTTAATTTCAGAGAGTTTGCTTCAATTTATTGGAATTAATTTAAAATTCTTTTGTATTTATATTTTTCTTTTACATATTTAAAGTATTAAGATAAAGTCATTGCCTAATGCTGTCTGCCATAGTAAAATTTGCAAACTAAGAAAGGTCACATATTGCTTTTCAAGAAAGACTGTTTAGGGCCCTTAATACAGTGCCAAAATAGAAGAACTTTGTCAAAAATGAACAAAAGTATGAACTCCTTGGTAAGAGTAGATTCTCTTTGTTTTAAAGAAGTTAAATACATTGGGTTAAAATGAGCAAAATATGAGCTCCTTTTTGGAAAGTTAAGAAAGGAGGAATAGAGATTAGGAAAAATTCAGAAATTTTCCATCACTGCTTCTCATATCTAACCACATAATCCAGGACTTCATTTCCCAGAAAACTCTGCATCTGCCCAAGGGAACATTAGTTATGAGACAATGCAGAGATTTCTAAGGCCCATTTCTTCACTTAAAGTTTATTTGCTCTCAAAGCTTCTCGTGGTACCAGGATAGAGCATTAAATAGCATTATTATCTTTGAGTTACAGCTGTGTCTTATTTTTGTATTGTTAGTTCCAGTGTAGCATGGTAATAAAACATATTTGAAGTATCCATTCCTGCATACACGGTGCTCTTACCTGTGTTCTCATATGACACTCACCCTGAGGAAGGTCTTACTGTATCCCCATTCTCAGATATGAAACTGAGATTTGGGAAAGATAACCAATTTGTCCAAGTCCTTTACCTACTAAATGGCAAGACGTAGAGTCAATCTTGTTCTGTTTGCTCAAAAGTTGAATAATTTAAAAATAAAAGTTAAAGGGAAATCCACAATTTATTATATTCTTGTATAACTTGTTAACAAAACATATCATCATAGAATTTTAAAGCTAGAAGTCAACCAGGTCTTGTTTTTCAGACCTCAGTTTAGATATCGTCTCTTTAGAAAGACCTTCTTTTGGTACCCTAACTCAGCAGCCTGTTGGTTTTACAATTTACTATGACAATATATACTTTTTGGTTTTGATTATGGAACTTGGTTCTTACTTATATCTTTCATTAGACTGTAAAGTTATTGAAGACATGGATTATGTCTACCATGTTCACTAGTGAAGCCCCAGCAGTTAGACTAGCTATAGGCACATGGTAGGCATTAGAATAAATTTTTTTTATCAATTGCATGAGGTTCAGAAACTTAATTTAATTTGTCCATGACCAAGTATTTGTTAGTGGTAAATCCATTAGAACCCTGGAATCCTGTTTCCTGCTGTGCTGCAATGGCTACTTGCAGGGGCCTGCCATGCCTAATACCAGCTTTGTAATTGTTAGGTTGCATGAGAAACCCTCTTCTGGTTCCCAATGACTCCCCAAAGTACCCTGAAAAAAGGGAAAGCTTATTCCTACCCTTCTCCTTCATCCAAAATCAGATAACAAAGAGCAAAGTTGTCAGGGACAAATGCTTTCTTCCTGTGAGCAGAAATGTGAAGCATGGTTTTGGTTGGAGTTTTTGTTTGTTTGGTTGGTTTTTGGTTCAGTTTTGCAGTATTTGGCTTACTATTCTCTCAAAAAGTCTGCATCCTGTGGACAAGAATCTAAGCTCTTCGGAGACTGGCAATGGCTATTCCACTCTCTGGGGAGCCTATTTATGAGCACACATGTCTATAACTCAGCCATTCTCCATATCTGTTGGAGAATAGCAGCCTAATTATCTGCCATCATTTGGTTTTCATTCCTGGCATATTGGTGACACTCCTCTTACCTCAGCCACATATTCAATTAATTTATACGTGTTACCACATTGATCTCAACTGTGAAAATCTGAGCAAAATGCATACTTGGTACAGTTATCCTTATGTCAGGTAGTCTGTGGTCAGTCATAGCTTTTAATCAATAGATAAAAAGTTGTAAAGTGTCTTAATTTGAGAAAATTGGCTAAACCAAAGAAGCACGAATGGATAGTTACCAACAGTTGAATTTCTCCAAATAGACTCTTTTTTATGGTATGACTTAAACGTAAGGCCATTTTGAGTTATGGTGTTTTTCATTTGACTTGCTTCATCTATCTTTCTGGCAATTCTGGTTTATGCTCCTTAGACTGGTGAATAATCTGAATGTCAACCAGAGAGTCTGAACTTCTATGAGTAACTCATGTGTCACATAATCTATGTGACATAGTACTGCATCACACCTGCAGCAGCATGCTATAGGAATTCTGTAGTTAATTATATACACTGCTATCAACAATGAAAATAAGGTATTTAGGTATCAAAGAACCAACTGAAACTTCCACCCAAAAGCAAATCCAAAGTGAGAAAGGTACCATGAGCTCAGATTATTTTGAAATTTACAGATAAAACCTAGCTTCAAGTACAAATCCTGTGGAAGAAAGAGCGCACACTAGGTCTCAGACACCTTGGCAGCCACTTTACATATATTATTCCTAATCTTCCCATTTCAAAGGTAGAAAATTCTAGTCTCTAAGAGACTCATGACTTGCCATGTTTCTCAGACTAAGTTACAGTACATATTTTATTTCCAGATTCAGTTGAATCCTCAGATGCTCTTGTATCAATGCTATTATGATGTTGGATTAGCTGCAGCTCACTGGTAAGGCAAACCTGCAACCAGCACCCCCTCTACTTCATGTTTGCAGTAGAAGCTGCCTCTATTAACCTTCCATGAACCCAGCAAACCTATACATCTTGAGGTGCCTTATTCAAAGCATCTCTCCATCTCTTCTAAATTATGATAGCTAATAGCTATCATAAAATAAAAGTGATAGCTAATAGCTAATAATAGCTAAAAATACATAACAAGCCTAACTACCTTTTTAATAGGATAAAATTACATAAGATATCGCTAAGTCTATGAAATTTATGTCTGTTTTATAACTATGTTATGCAACTATTTTCATCTTTTATAGTTTTAGTTAATAGTTTATATGTGCAAACCTCCAATCTGTTACAGATTTTCCTCAATTTGCTGGTACATACTATAGCTTAGGGATTACTGAAATATCAAAACAGATGATAACATATATGCTTTCAGGGAAGAAAAGGATACATCTATGTAGCCCAAAGTTTTCATTTATTTTTTTGATAGGCCCTAGAGTTGATCTTGAAAATTGCCAGATTAGTAGGCTGTCCCAGCCCTGAGAAATCACTAGTCCAGAAGTGGCAATTCCCAAGGCAGGTATTGAAGCATTCCATTGTCTTTTACCTCAAGGGCTGTATGAAAGTCACTAGCTGAAATCAATACAATTAATAATAAACACAACGTGTTCTACATGGTGTTTTTAAGGGGTAGAGTAATAATCGCAAAAACAAACTATGGTAAATTTTTGTAGCTGCAAAAACTATTAGAAACTTTAATAAGGCAGGACTTAAAACAACCTAAGAGGTAGTATAGACTGAAAATGGAATTCACTTCTTAAAGAGAATCATGGCCAATACATATGGGTTATGAAAAGAAAGTAGAATATTTGGGTGGTAGTTTCCCTGTTCTGTGTAACTACTTTCACGTCAGATATGAAGGTCCTAAAACATAGGTGTTATTTTTCACTGGTCAGGAAAGGACACTAGACTGGATGGTCCGTGGGTCTGATCCATGACAAGTCTTCTGATTGTTGAAAAATACTGTAAGTTGTAGAGCTTCTAGCTGTGAAATGTTTCCAAAGAAACCTTTGTCATCTACTTTGGAATCATATTAATGCCCTGTGGCCTTGGAATTGACTCTAGAAGCTTTCAGTTAAATATTAGCCATTATACCTGTACAGAAAAAATATAGAAAGGCTTAAATGGAAAAACAAAAGAGTAACTGAATAATGTACCTTGATTCCTTGATTTTTCTCAGTTACCATGATGATTTTTGTCATCTGTTGAAAAAGGTTTCTGCTAAATTTAATTATCAGACCATCATCTCAAATCTTCAAAGTTCCTTTTTTTTTTTTGTCTTTCTCTATTAACAGACAAATTAAAAGGGAAGGATCAAGTATATGAAATGAAATTGTGATGCTCCAGGAACAGTTTCAGGTCTTACGTTTCATTGGAAGAAAAGTCCTCTGTCAAAAAGAAAAGTTCAAAAAGTTTAAATTATCTAAAAATATACAGTGTCCCTAAACCTAACATATATAATGAGTGTATGGCCTGGAAATCCAATCTCTTCATAGGTGATTTGGATATGCAATATCAGGACTATACTTACAGTTCAAAAAAAAAAAAAGATAAAGAAAACTCTTCTTTATCTGAAATTCAAATTTAACTTGGTGCCCCAAATTTTTATTTGTTAAACCTTGTATATGTGGAAACATAATATAGTTTATAAATATTATATATATAGTTTAAAATGCATAGTGACTATATCAGTCTTTAGGTATAAATAGTTACAGTATCTTTTGTCAATTTGATTACATCATTACAGCAACTTTCAGAGTTGAGAGAATGTTGGATCATGAGAAATTGCTATAAACATTCTTATGGGAATCATTTTGGGTCTAGGAAACGTTGATTTTTTAGCGTTCTAATAATGTGTGTTATATCATCTCTTGAGAAGTTTTCAGAAATTCTGAGAAAAATGGACAGCAGAAAAGGGTTAGATAGATAGGAAGAAATATCTAATAATTTGGAGAGCTGTTCAAGACCTAATCTCAAGATATAGAGCTGCTATATTCAAATTTGTTTGATCTTTTGATATTTTTCAATTCTGTATGAAGGCATTAATGGTTTTTTCCTGCTTTGCCTTTTAATATGTCACTTGAGCAGATATTTGTCCTCTAACTAGCAAGTAGAATTGATTCTATGGTTGCTTCATCATAATTTTTGATGCAGAATAATGGTAGATATATTCACGCTTGTTTTTCGTTGGATACTTATTGATTACTACATCGCTGAACATTTAAGGAAAGAATCACTCAATTCTAACATGTTTAGAAGAGTTTCTTTCGATTTGGCACATGGACAGTGAGAATGACCTCACTGTGTTTGTTCCCTGGCACACCAAAGGTTTGCTGCAGATGTTAGTACAGCAGAACTTGTTCGCTAAGATGACCCATTATGGAACTCTAGCTGATTAAGCAGATGTTAATGGACAATTGCATGTCCATTATTACTTCTTTGACCATATTACCAACTCAACTCAATTGTACTTGCTTTTCAAATAAGACCAACCTGTCAATAAAGAAACCGGACATCAAGTTTCAGATGATTGGTAGAGATTACAGGGAAATGCAAAAAGGAGGGAAGAGATGAGACGCACATTGTCAAATAATCTGAAATGTTAAGAATTGTGGAAATTGTGAGTTTCATAAGGAGTTTTAGACAAGGTACACTATATCCCCCATTCTGTTTTTTCCTTTTTCGTTTTAAACTTAGATTTGCTTTACTTCTTTGGGTCTTCATTTCTTTCCATGCAAAATTCCTGAAAGTCAAAAGGAAGATTAGAAGCTAGCCATTTTACCACTAAAGAAACTGAGCCCCAAGAAGTTAATTCAGCTTACCCAAGATTACATCTTTGGTTAGGGCCAAACCTAAGACAGGGACAGACTCTGTTTTCTTCATTTCTCACTAAACTGTATCACTACAGTTTAAACTTCTTTCTACCACTACTAGCATTCTGTGCCTTCAGGAGGAATTTTCAGTCCCTTCACTTTCCTGATGCCTGGGAATTCTTTTTAAGTTATGACTAACAACGTATAAAACATGAGTCAAAAGTTAGTCCCTAATAAAGTCATTGTGACTTTAATGACTTCGGCAGTTGTTTCATTCTGCAAAAACAGGAAGATCCCACACAATAAGGCGCCTGTCTCACAGCTGGGCTCCTGCGTAGACGGCCACCCACAAGAGTAACTAACTGCTGGGGCTGTCTTCCTCTCTTTGACACCTTTTTATTCTCTGTTCTTACAGTTCTCTCCTACTGACCTCATCCTGAGATTATCCATGAGAGGAAGGTACCTGCTTTAGCTTTTCTTTGATAGGGTAAAGAATAGTTTTATTCACTTAAGATTCACTCCTAAGTGATTTTCAGGTCACCCTCAACAGGCCTAAATTAGTCTTAGAAGGAGCTCTTTCATGGGCTTTATACTAGCTTCCTGTATTATCACTCTTCTGGATTGTTTTATTCTCAAAACATAAAATCGCCAAATTTTAGATTTAAGAAGAGCCTGCGATCATTCCAGTTCACTCCACCTATGTGATTAGTTTAAGAACTCATTACCAAGATGGTGCCTATCTTGCCTGCAGATCTTTGCATAAAGCTCAAACTAATTCTCCCACAAGAAATACAGGAAAGTGAAGAAGTGTCCTATCATTTCAGAAGAAACTGGCTTGGATGAAATAATCTCTGTATGCAGTGTTGAAACTAAAGAAAAATTGAAGCCATCAAACAAACAAAATGTTCCTATCAAGTGTAACTGAATTTTAGCTTTTATTACCTATTCTCTACTTCTAAAATAACTTTTCGCTATTAAAGGAACTTATTCCAAAAATCAGACAATTTTATAGAAAAGGTATATTCTAGGCGAATAATATTAAATCACTTACCTAGAAAATATACCTTCTTCCCTTTTCAAAAAATAGCTGCAATTTCTAGCAGTATATGTGAATCTAGTGTTGGGCCTAAGCTTAAGAAGGCATTGGAGGAATTTTTTATTACTAAGAGTTCATTCACAAACTTTGCTTGTCTGTGTTGAAAAGTGGCATTGGCCATTTCCTCTGGGGACATTATTTCTAGGTAGGCTGTAACAGGGTTTTCCTGTGAAGGCAGATTCTTAGGGAAAATAGTATCTGTGTGCATGAGATGGTAGAGACACATTTATCTTTAAAATAAATGTTCCTATTTGTGAATTTCTCTACTGCATTTAATAAAGTAAATAACGCCCATTTCCTTTCAATCCAGTAACTCCTTGGGACACAGTTTTACCCAGGAGCTATTTTACCTTTGAGTCTGGATGAAACATGTAACTTAATAAACTCCAAAAGTCTTACACTATAAAACTCTGAGGGATGATACATGCTTCCCTTCCTTTGTTATGGTCTGAAGCATTTTCAATCTGAGTTGTTTTCCTCAGTCATGTAGAGGGAGTTTTGTTTTCTGGGAAGTCTTGGTTGCTGGTAAATAATGTGTCCAAACTGTAGGAGGCAGCCACAAAATTTATCATACAAGTATGAAAGGTTAGGGTTGAAAGGCTGAGATCCTAAAATCATGCATCATTTTCATTTTACACATGAGAGGTGATGTAACTACACAGGAGAGTGAGAGCCGAGAATGAAAAGTCAAGATTCGTCTACTACATAGTGGCTGCCTCTGGCTCAACAGAAACACTCCCGTGTGGGAGCCAGTTGCTGAAAACCCAACTAAGCCTAGCTCCTCAACTGTCTCCTCAGGCTTCACTTCAAATATAATTCATATCTATTCTATTTCTTAATGTGTCTCATCACACAGTTAAACGCTAGTCATACTAACTCGACTCTACATATACTAGAATGTAAAAGATACCCTTCCACCCCCCGCTGTCTGCTCCTTGAAGGCCATGTCTGCCTTTCTTAGTTTGTACAGAGCCCAACATAAATGGGCCCTTCATACGTGCTTTTTGATGAGAGCAATGATTGCCTTCACGTCAGTGTGGTTGGGCCCTCCCTTATGGAGGAGGAAAACCAACAGTTGTTGCTAAGCAACATTTAAAGGACTAGGTTAGTTTCTGACACTAAGTGACCTCCATTTGCATACTTCGCCATGTTGTGTGTTTTATGATTGCCTTAAGATGACTTTGTTTTTTGGTGGCATTGCTATATGCCCTTAGCAAAAGGCTCCTAGGAGAACTAGTTTAGGCCTGGAAAGGAGGAAGGTGATATTCATCTGTTAATGACTTACATGAGTACGCTGATCCTTTCAGTAAACCATGCAGGAAAGGTGAGGAGTTTGGTTTATTTTCAGCCCTGCAGCTGAGAGCCACCTCCCTGTCCCCATATTGAAAGTGACTGACAATGTATCCCAACAGGGTCCTGTGGCAGTGGGAGGCTATAGGAAGAAAATAAACAGAGAAGTCTTTCCTCTTATAGCCTTTTATGATTCAATTTCTACCTGCTCCTATCTTCTGAGCAGAGATGCTGATATAGCTAATAAAGAACTGGCCCCACCCTCTCCAGACTGTTTGCTGTTGTGGTTAAACAACGTGCCCTAATATATCTATTCCTACTAGAATGAAAGCTGATTAAAAGCATGAAAAGAGTTTTTGTTTGTTCCTTTGTTTTTTTCACTGCTATATCATCACTCTTTTCGCTGGTCATTTTAGGTATTCAATAAATGGTTGACAAATAAGTGGAAAAAAAGGGGATTATTGAACTAATACCAACCTGATTGACTCTAAAACATTCCTAAGTGTTTCAGAGAGACTAAAGAAGCCAAAATGAGACAATTGTTTGAATGTTATATTTGCCTAAGTCTAGTGCAGAGAAAATTATGGAAGAAATCATCTGTCTCTAAGCTTTTTACAAGATATTTTTACAGTGATTCAAGTAAAGTTTACTTCTTTGCCAAAATTCAGCGTATTGGTCAGAGCAATAAACTTGTCTTCTTCAGCTTCTGAGTCTTCAGCCTAAGTACCTGTCTTTTAAGGATTTAAGATGAGAGGCCATTGTGATGGAGCAGTTGTGTCTTTAAAACTAAATAATTTGGAAGTCATGCGATTCACAGATTCACCTGGGGTTCAAAATTGCACAGAGGTTCAATAAGTAAAATACGCTAGCTGAGATGATTGATTCAGAGATGCCTGGTTACTAACATATTGTATCATGGGAAACACACCCACAAACACAAGTAGGGTTACCCAAAAAGAGGGTGATTGGACATCTTTGAGAACAATGCATGGTGCAGTGAGCCAGCAGGCAGAAATACTGACTTGCATTGGCTTCACCTCCAAAAGCCAGGTCTCCTAGGCACAGGCCATGGCGTAACCCGGGCTTGGATACTTGAAATAAAGCTATTGTTGGATGCTGATGCTCATTTGAAAGGGGAATGCCTCACAGGAAAAAAAGCCAATTGCAAGTCAGGGTTGTTGCCATGGTGCTTTGCTACTCCTTCAACTTGCTATAAATGAAATTATGGGAGTACAGGGGTAGGATAACAGAGGGGAGAGATGAGGAGGGAAATGGGATGAGCCTGGGGCAGGGAATCCCACTGCAGTAAAGCTCTAGTGTTTCCCCTTGCCTGTACTCTAATGCTGACAAGGAGAAGGGAGGGGCTGGGAAGAAGGGAGAGAGAAACATGCAGGGAAGAAATGACTTTCTCAACATGCCCTGGATGGCTAAAATAAAATAAAAATTAATTTAAATCCTCAGATTTCTAATGTGAGTTAGAAGAGGTAACACTAAATCTCAAACAATTCACCATTCTTTCAGTTATGACTGTTCATATTTCCTAACACGCTCTGGATCCTAGATGGAAAGGTTAAAAGAGTTTAATACATTTGTCGAATGCAATCTAATATGCATATCAATGAGCTAATGGAGGGCAGAAACTTACATGCTGCATAGGAAGTACTTTTCAAATGAAATAAATTAATTCCATTCCCATTCATTTTACTATGAAAGAGGCTAAATGCATTGGCACACGCTTGGTGTGCGACAAATAATCCTCCAAAAAGCTAGTTCACAAAAATTATTGTGTACCGGCAGCCTAGTCTGAAAACAGCCACGGTCCTAACCTTTTTTAAATGTTTGTTTAAATGTTCAGAAAGTCGATTCATCAAATGCATCATCACTTTGATCCATTAGAGCAGCTGGATTTTTGTGCAGAGGCTGCATCTGCAGAATTCTGGTCTGCAGTGGAGAGAGAGGGTTAAGGAACACCTAGTTAAAATGGGGGAGGGTACCGACTTCAGATTTACTTAAATATTCATGGAGCTTCCTCCATTTTAATCTTCTCCTTTTTAAAAGATGGCTGTGTTTCCTAGTCTGGCAACTCCTCAGGAAAGAAGAATTGCTTCTTCCTTGCAGAGTTCGGCTGAGTAGGACTAATGTAGAAGAGTGGAAACCCCTTCGGCCACCAGGACTATTCATAATTCATAAGTGCTTCAAACCAGCCAGCTGAATACATTTGGACAGGCTCTTGCTCCTTCGTGCAATTCCTGATTTCATTGCTCTCTTCTGCCAGGAAATAAGCAGGGAGCATAGGCTTCTTGCAAGAATGGAGTGCGAAGATGGGCTTTGTTTGGCTTAGGAAATGCCATACATTTTGGAGGTTTTGTCTTTTCTAAGTTTTGATTATTTTATCACTGGATCTGCAGGGCTTTCCTGATCCTTTCGGGATTGCTCTCTCAGAACCGTGAATTCTTTCAAAGGGATTTGTGGATTGTGGCAAAGAGAGCATTCCAAAATGCCTGAGGCAAATTATTTGTTATCTGTATCTTGGGGTTACATCAAGGTGGGTTAATTTGACTGTGTTCTGTGTCTTTGATAAAATGTGAAACATGTATCTGTGTGTGTGTGTGTGTGTGTGTGTGTGCGCGCGCGCGTGTTTTGTGTGAAGTAGAGGACATCTGTAATGATTTAATTTGTGTGTTCATTTAACCCACTGGGACCTCTTATTTTGAAATAAGAGCATGTTATATTACATTTTATTTAAGTGTACTATGCTGTGTTTTAACCCTATTCTTTTTACTCAATTCTGTTTTTTAAAAGATGCTTCTTTTCTTTCTTTTTCGCTTAAACTTTTCACATATAATCTCCTGTCACCAAATAGGTTATTAAATTATATTTTAGAGGTAATTTCAGACAAATGTATTTTTAAAAGTAGTTACAGTTTCAAGTGGAATTATCTTGACATCTATTAAAATTCCTTTTCCTAGGTTTGCATCTTCAAAAGTAATCAGTTGTTAATTCTAAGAAATCTTAAGAAAACCTCTTTTCCAAGTGACGTTGGAATAATTTCAAGTTGAAGAGATACATTTTGTAGAAACAGTACTATTTATCTAATGGTATCTGCTCATCCAACCTCTTGATTCCTGGACAGTAAAGTTGGAAACATTTAAAGTGAACATTTGCTCTTTTGAAAATGGTTAATGCATTTTTGTTCTTTATAAACAGTTCAAAAGAATGCTGAACCGGGAGCTGACACACCTCTCAGAGATGAGCCGGTCAGGGAACCAGGTGTCTGAATACATTTCAAATACTTTCTTAGGTAAGATAATAACTGGGAAAAACCTGTTTTATAACTCGGGTTTTCAGAATTAATTTCTACAATCTATCAAGGACATCCCCATGTGAATTGGGGATGGAGTTGAGTCATATAAAAATCCATTTAAAATAATAACTAAGGCCAATCTTCAAAAGAAAAAAAAAAAGCAGAAAGATCATGTTTTTGAAAAAAAGAATTAAAATACCTATCCAAGACAGAGGGTTATCATGGGCTAACTGTATTTAAACGGCCCTCAGCCCCACCTTGTCTGCCTGCATACTTCCATCTTTGCTAAGACCTCTGAAATAATGAGGGAAATCCAATCACCCAAGCCCTAGAGACCGCTCCATTGGCTCCTCTGACATGGTAGCCTTTCAATTCCTTCAATAACTGAGCTTTGAGCAAAAGGTTTCCTCTATGATGTTTTGTAGGGGATATGCTTGAGGAATAATTCCATGGTGATTTGGTCCGTGAGAATAAGCTTTGGGAATAATTTGACTATTGCTTTGCTAAGTTATTTATTAAAGATAAATGGATGGTATGGGGAGAATTTTAATACTATCTTAAGGATTTCATATTCTGTAAGCAGCCTCATTCTCTTTCCTATCTGATGCTTTATCCATTATTCTGTTGTTACATTACTGGTATTTAACACATGATACTGACCAAAAAGGATTGCATGAATGGTCCTCAACTATTGTCATGCATGTTATTTGATTATTTGGGATTTTTGAATTCAGTCTTAAAGGCAACTTTTGTATAATGAAACTATTAGGACAATTTTGATTTAAGAAGTCTTACAGAATCTGCAGATCTGTGCATCAAAGTAAATGGATAGCATTTAGATTCTGATTTTGTTGACTTTAAATTGCTGCTGAATTATGCTTGCTTATGAAACCTCATTTTCCAGGGAAGTGACCCACTCTCACAGCTGAACATTGCATCCTTTCTTCTTTTTTGGAATAGCCATATAGCATTAAATCAATGAGCATTTTCCTTGACGTGTGGGAGCGCAGAAGACAAGAGTAGAGATTTGGGAACCTCCTCCTAGATTTCAGAGGATCTATGGAAATGCTTGTGTATATGTGCACATTTTCTGTAGCCAGTCTATCATTGATGGGCATTTAGGTTGATTCCATATCTTTACTATCCTGAATAGTGTTGCAATGAACATAAGTGTACATGTGCCTTATTGAAACAAATACCTCTTCTGGTTTTATTTCTAAGATCAATCCTATTTCTCTAACACCAAAGCAGTTCTTGCTATCAGCAGATCAATCAGCCCTCTCTTTAAGTAGCCTCATACAGAGCTTACTGCATTACTCTGCAGTGGATGGTCACCAGACATGATTAACAAGTGCCTTTCTAACAGTTTCTAGTATGTGAGTGTCTGCAGCACTTAATTTTCTCCAGCTGCAGTTGCAACGCCTTTGTCAGAGAACAAAGGAGAAGAATTTTCATCCATCCTAGCTCCCAGAGGTGCCTAGAAAGTAACTCTACAGAAAACATTAAATACTGATCCTTTTCTTCTCCTTTAATACATTTGAAGAAAGGGATCTTCTGCTGAGCATTTCAGATATACCCTGCTCTGTGTAGTGCCTAATGATTTTTCATTAGCTGGAAGCTGTTTTAGGGACATTTTACAGGTTAATGACTGTGGGAGACGAGAATAAAATCAAAACTGCAAGAACCCATTTTTGTCTTCATAAGCATTGCATTTTAAAATATGAGGGCTTGAGGACTTCTCAGAAGAGACTCTCACTACTGTAGTTAAAGTTATATGAAGTCTCTGAACCCTTAATCATCCAAGACTGGACTTAAGCAGTCCTCCTCATTTGTAGTCTCTTTCAATATCTGCTTACCAAGGACAACAAGAATATCTTAGTCCACTAATTAATCTTTTTTATCACCATAGGCTACCAAGAAAGAAAGCTGATAAGATAATAAAGATGATTCATTCCTCAGAGTAGGAAAAAATAAAAAGAAAAAATTTAAAAGATGCTAAATATGAGCTCTGAGTCTTAACACTGTCCAAGATGAGGCAAATGTCAACTCTTTCTTGCCTATTGTGCTTGCTATTTAGGCAGATCTCTTGAGCAAAACCAGTCATTTGGCTTCTCATTGTTCCAAAAATTAAATTCAAGAACAAATTGTTGAGGAAGGTTATTAGAATCTCAATCCTTGTAGACTTAGCATTAAGAGGGTGGTGTGTGTCAGTGGGTATATATGTTTGAGGGTATATGGGGTAAACCCCATCAAATAGACTAGACAGGCAGATTGGAACTTTAAATGTTCTTGAGAAGATATAGGAAGAAAAAACCTATAATATGAACAAAAGATGCATCAGTTGTCTCACTTGTAAAATGGGAGCACTGGTATAGATGACATCTCAAATCCCTTCCAACTCTAAGTTCCTATAACTTTGATATGAACTGAGTTTATCAGTTTTGCTAAGACATACCTGGCCATCTGGATTCTCTGTGGTGAACCCTCGGCTCGTAATTTGACAATCTCAAAAAACAAATAAATGAAGTTTGTTTCCAGACTGACAGTGAAGGGCATGGAACTCTTAGTTTTATCCTGTGAGCATGATGAATGTTCCCGGAAGACCATGAAGCCTTCTTCATAAACCTTCTGATCTGCATGGGACCCTAAAACCTTGTAGTCCAATTCCCTCATTTTATAGGAGAGAAAACAGAGGACCCAGAGGGATGAGGTAACTTGACCAAGATCACTTGGCTAATACATTCCTCAGCCAGAACTGGGACTTGGCTCTCTTGACATCTAGACCTAAACACCCTGTCAATTCTTTAACGAGGAAAGAAGGCTGTTAGGAACACAGAATATACAGAACAAAATCACATAAGGACTCTTAAGTAATACATATATCATTTTGGAAACAAATCTTTAGGAATCAGGATTGTGGGACCTAAAAATAAAATGTTTATTAACAGGCCAGGCATGGTGGCTTACGCCTGTATCCAGCACATTCAGAGGCCGAGATGGGCAGATCACCTGAGGTCAGGAGCTCGAGACCAGCCTGGCCGACATGGTGAAACCCCGTCTCTACTAAAAATACAAAAATAGCTGGATGTGGTGGTGCATGCCTGTAGTCCCAGCTACTGGGGAGCCTGAGGCAGGAGAATCACTTGAATCCAGGAGATGGAGGTTGCAGTGAGCCAAGATCACACCATTGCACTCCAGCCTGGGCGAAAAGAGCAAAACTCTGTCTCAAAAAAAAAAAAAAAAATGTATTAACAGTTTCTAATAATATAAAAGTTTCCTGTAAGACCTTGGCAACCACTTTAGTGAGCATAAAATAAGATCTTAGCAATTTACCTTAAACTTGAAGAGCCATATCTCAATAAGAGACATTAAATGTTAAAAATGTGTCATCCAGGGAGGAGGGAAATCCCTTAATCCAGAGATATGTGAAACTTGTGTTGCTCGTATCTTAAAAAAAAAAAAAAAAGTGATGCAGGAGGACAGGGAGAAAGGCAGGCAGCAGACTATATTTACCAGTCCAGGCACTCACTGATGCTGTGATATAATAGCCTCCAGGTTGCTGGTACAAGGGGAAATAGAAGTGTCTAATTTCAAGGGAAATAAAGCAGGACCTAGGGAGAAGGAGAATAAATAATACAAGAATTTTAGATGTTATTTTACAATTTAGTTAATATTTTCATGTACAGAGAAAAGTTATCCTTTTAAATCCTCTGCTTACCATCTCAAAATCTAGAACTTAGAATTTTCAAGATACAAGGAAAAGAGCTTAGGAATTTTGCATAATTGGAAAGTGTGATCTAGCAAAACAGGAACCTCAAATTAAGCCATTAACAGAATTTGGATGAGACTATTTTTTGTATCTGCTTTTTGTTTGTTTTATACAGGCTGGCTGTTTGCTCACTGTTTTCTGACTATTCCATAAATGTAAATTCACTCAGTGTGTTTATTGTGATTTCTTCGAGTCTGAGTTTCTGATTATTTCCACACTGTGCTGGCTAAGCATTTAATAGAGGAAATTCAGAATAGGGAAACCTATTAGTTGTTCCAGTGCCTGCATAGGGAAACACCCATTAATGTCAAATTGGCACTATTTGTGAATAATGGTCTTCTTCATCATTGCCGTGTTCCAGACACAGTAGTGGTTCAGCTCAATTACTCACTGTTGCGGGAAATCTTTAATTAAACAAAGGGAGAAGGCTGCTAGTCCTACTAGAAATGGTTATATGTGCAGTGACACAGGAGAATCTACGAGCCTCTTTAACTGGAGGTGAAGAATGGTGGTTAGAAAGGCAGGCCCTGTGGTGGCCTTTCATTTTAGCAAAAAGTAGTAATTATTAGGAGTAAAGTGACAGGGAGAAAAGTAATTTCAAACTAATATAAAATACAGTTTTTATGCCAGAGATTGTGTGGCAGGAAAGAGATTTTTAACAGGAACCTCAAGGCCTGGGTTCTATGCTATTAAATCACTGTGTCTGGAGCAAAGTAATTGCAAAATAAATATCTGTTAAATAAATTGCCCTTTGAGCTTGGGCAAGTTGCTGACTTCGTCTGAAAAATGAGAGTGTGGGATTGTTATTGGTTCTCAAACCTGGCTCTGATTAGCCAAGTCACTTGGGAATCTTTTAAGAAAATACTGATTCAGTAGGGTTGGGTGGGGCTTATAAATCTGTATTTTTCTGAAGTTTCCTGGGTGCTTCTGATGCTGGACTAGGTTGGAAACCCCTAAACTAATTGAGATGACCACTAAAATTCCTCCCTAAGCAAAAGTCATAGGCTTGTGAGTGTAGGAGCTTGTGGGACACCTAGAGACAATATTGATATGTCAGGGATGGAGAATTCCCTTGCTTCGGCCCCACAGAGAAGAGGTGAGGTATACACAAAGCTGGTACTGTCTCACTGTGCTTGCTTTACTCTGATGAAGTGTCCACAGGGGCCTATGAGCAGCCAGAGGTCTCTGGGGAAAACATGTGACTGTGCCATTATCTGCAAGAGTCAAAACAAATCGTCTAGATCCCAAAATGCCATCTGGGAGCATGTCATTTTCAAATGGCAAAGTTGTCTTCCTACTAATTTTCACTGTAACTAGCAGAGGTAAATGTAGGTACTTTTGAAAGCTGCATTAACTCTTTCAGCCACAAGATGTCATTTAGTTCAATAAAGTAGTTTTTATGCAATTTAATAATTGCCTCTGTGCACCCACCAGCATCCCTGTGGCCTGAAAGAGTTAACACATTTTTTCAGGATTACTGAGCATATATCTCCCTGTGAAGTGAAATGGAATATTTGATTGCTGATATTTTTAACAGCACAATGTAAAGGAAAGAGCTTCTATAAGCAGGTAGGCACATTTTTTTTTCACTAATCCAAGCTCTGCTGTTACCTTGTTGTAACACAACTTTTAAAAATATTATGAAATATCATAAATATGTAATAACCTTAAATGTGTTAGTAAGTGTAATGCTTATTACAAATGAGAGGCCTTATTATTATTTATTAGTAGAATTAATAGACACAAGGCATGAAATAAAACTGAAATTATAGTCTTCCTCTAAACCTCAAAGGGTAATAAACCAAGTCCTTAAAGTAATTGTTTGAGGATTATGACCCATTTCTACTTCTAACATATATACTGCTTATTTAAACTGAGCCCTGCTAAAGCCATATGGATTTTAAAATTTTTTAAGTAAAGATAAGATGAGCAGATCATGAAACCTGTTTTTATTAATCTGATGAACATTTTATTTTACAAAAATATGTTAATCACTTTATTTAAAAAATCTACATATAAATATTGGTGCTCCACCTTGCAAATGTATAAGGGTAATTCTCCTAAATTACACTGAAAACAGAAGATTTGGTCTTGGGTCCTATTTTTGCTGCTTTCTGGGCAAGTTACTTAGTTCCTCTGGGCTTTAATTTGCCTAGCAATAACATGGAACAACGAATCTTCTTATCATTCTCAACAAATTTTATATATTCCCCACTTACTTCATAGAACTACCCTAGAGATACAGTGAAATAGTGCTACAAGATTTTATAAGATTCTAAAGCTGTTACAGATGGTTAGAGTTGTTTTGAATATTGCAGTGGATTCTCATAGACACGTGTGCTGGAAAACATATTCCTTTGTCTGTTGCAGACAAGCAGAATGATGTGGAGATCCCATCTCCCACCCAGAAAGACAGGGAGAAAAAGAAAAAGCAGCAGCTCATGACCCAGATAAGTGGAGTGAAGAAATTAATGCATAGTTCAAGCTTAAACAATACAAGCATCTCACGCTTTGGAGTCAACACTGAAAATGAAGATCACCTGGCCAAGGTGTGTATAAGCTCAGGTTTTGTGCATGTAGCTCTCTGCTTTACAGCAGACGGATGACCGTATACCTTTTAGAAAACAGTAGGGATTGCTTTTGCATTATTGTGTTAGGGAAGCTCATATGAAATGAGTTTACTGTGAGCAGTAAGGCCTTCTGAAAGCTGTCATTAGAGGAAGGTTGATTAAACATGAGACCAAGTCTTGGGGGAGAGCCTGGATCTCTTATGCTGGTAGTTATTAAGAATGCCATTGTTGGGGTATCTGATGGAAGATCCTTTCTCCATACCAAAGAACCACTTTTTTTGTTTTGTCTCGAGTTAGGTTTGTTATGGACAGTTCATTATGAATGAAGAATCCTTCTGAAGAGACATGGGGAAAATCCGAGGAAAGGTCAATAGGCAGGTCTCAATTATCCCAGAGGACATTTCAGGGACTGTATGCTGAGGACCAATGGGAAAATCTGCACTAATCGGTAGTGCTGGAAAAGAAATAAAGAGAAATTGACAGCACTGACTCTGGAGCCCAAACTCTAGTAGTGGAGGGAGGCATAGAAAGAATTCATACATCCTTTAGGAGGCCACACAAGGTGACTACTGAGGTCCTCTCAACTTTGTGAGAATATGAAATCAGCTTACTGTGAGCGGTAAGACCTTTTGAAAGCTGCCATTAGAGGAAGGTTGATTAAACATTAGGCCAAGTCATGATGGAAAGCCTGGATCTCTTACTCTGGGTGGTTGTTAAGAATGAAATAAATTGGTCCTTAAATCAGATAACCTTGGAATAATCTCACAACACAGGACTGAGTGATGTTTCTTCCAGGTCCATCTGTGGCCCAGAAGCCCTAGGATATAATTTATGACTGGCATTCTTCATGACCTTTTACATTAAATTGGGTTGACTTATGCACATTCTGACAGCTGAGTCTTCCTGATCTGGCTTTCAGTGATGATAACCAAAGGGCAGAGGAGTTTTCCCTGAGACTGATTTTCGAGCTGTTACTAACGGGCCAGTAAGCAGCAAGGAGAGAGACAGGGAAATTGGACTAGTGATCTCTGTTCACTTGTGGCCACTTTGAAAGCAACGTTGGTTGAAGACTGATGCATGTCCAATATAGGTCAGCAACTAAATTTATAAACAGATACTCTCCTTTTTCTGAATAAAAAAATGTTCAGAAATTTGTAGCTATCCTGAAGAGGACACACGACCTCCTAGGCAATTTAACTTTCAGATTTTCATGCAACCGAAGCACTCTAAGGAGCCACTCTAAAGACTTAAGCAGCCAGTGTCCAAAAAATAAATTAAAAGAATGAGGCATGTGAGCACAACTTTCCTTATTCCTAAATTCCTTTAAATTTTTAATTGCAGGAACTGGAAGACCTGAACAAATGGGGTCTTAACATCTTTAATGTGGCTGGATATTCCCACAATAGGCCCCTAACATGCATCATGTATGCTATATTCCAGGTGAGTGAACAGGAGTGAATGCTGGCTTTCCAATTGGATGGCTCTTTATGATTTTTTTTTCCATCTTGCTTTTCTGATTTAACTTTCCTCCACTTTGGACATCTACTTATTTATGTTCTAATCCATTTTACAACATAGGAAAGAGACCTCCTGAAGACATTCAGAATCTCATCTGATACATTTATAACCTACATGATGACTTTAGAAGACCATTACCATTCCGACGTGGCATATCACAACAGCCTGCATGCTGCTGATGTAGCTCAGTCAACCCACGTTCTCCTTTCTACACCAGCATTAGACGTGAGTAGTTATGATCTGTTTTGCATTCCTGCCCATCCTCCTTCAAAAATGCCATACCAGCTGGATGTAGTAGCATGTGCTTGTAGTCCTAGCTACTCGGGCGGCTGAGTTGGGAGGATTGCTTGAGCCCAGGGGTTCAAGGTTACAGTGAGCTATGACTGCTCCCCTGGACTCCTGCTTGGGCAACCCTGTCTCTAAAAAAAATAAAAAGAAAAAAAAATGTTTTAAGTGCCTTACAATATGCAATATACTTACAAAATTAATGTAATTAGACCACACTACATACTTGAACTGGTTCTTTATAAAATGTATCACATCCATTAACTGAGCTATTTATAAAAAATGAATGACATTTCTACTTGCTTTGCTTTCTAATATCAGAGTAACCTTCCCTTTACATCTCTTACTATTAAAAGTATTTAACTATAAAGCAATTAACAGGATTTCAGGGCAGGAATCATGTCTTATTCTTCATTGTATTTCTAGTAAGGGATGCAATGTACCTCAAAATGTCTTGTTCAGTGTCTGGTAGATAGTATATTCTCAGTATGCAATTACTTATCTGAACTGCCCAACACCACCCTAGGTATATACAGAGCACTACATTCCCAGGGGGGTATCGCAGAACTATAAAATACTCTCTACATTTCTTATTAGTAATAAGTATTCAGAGGCTTTTTCTCCTAAAAAAATATAAAACTGATGCTGTGTATTGAAGAAATAGTAACTAAAAATCTAGAACAGAAGAATTAATAATGCTGAAACAAGGAGAAACAATATTCATAGTTTGCCATACTAACTCTGAGAAGGTGGCTGTAGCTCCTTCTTTCACAGATTAATGCATTTGTGTATACCAATATAATCAACAATGTATGTAGCAGGTTATACTCTTACTTGACAAATGAAAATGATGGTCAAGTACTCCCAAAATGTGCTGGACCACTGCAGGAAGGGACTGGCCGTGCCCTATCCAGCCTCACCTTTACAGATTCAGTTTGGAAGGTGAAAAAAGATTGGCCACAACTCTGTTGCTTGAGTTGCATATTTTCTAAGAAAAGAAATCCAAGAAATCTTGAGAAAGTGAAATGGAGCTAAGGGTGTTTGATCCCTCTGAAGGAGAGAAAGAGTACTGTTTTTATACCCTGTGTAAGTATCACAGAGTGAGGCAACACTATTTATCAACTGCCCGGTGTTATTAATAGTATACCTACTGAGTGGCCAGAAAATGGCCATGAGTGCTGCAAGCTTTTTAGAAAAGGGAGAGTTCAGTGAGTGCTTGAGTAATGGGATTGGTCTTTATAGGAGAGGTGGAAACTTGCCTCAAGCTAGCATTGGAAGGACCAGAAGATTTAACTAATCCCAGAGGATGAGGGAAGACATTTCAGCCCTAGAATGAGCACCAATGTATACCTTATTAATCCTAGGTTTGAATCATTGTGCATGGGTAGGGGCAGACATGACATGACATGAAGGAATTGAGCAGCGGGGCCTCAGGTTTCACTTCTTAGGAAGGTTCTCAAATCTTGCCCATAGTAAATGATTAGTGGATACGTGTTGAATGAATGAGTAATATCTAAAAGCTTGTGACCACACCATAAATTTCGCTTTGGGAAATAATTTATTGCTTATCTTATGAATCAGGAGCTTGGCCATTTTCTCTAAGTTATTCAGCTAACAGCATATGAAGGTTGTTGTATCTCAGAGCAGAGCCAGCCTGACTTGCTTCTTTGCTTCTTTGACTTGTATCTGCTTGTGTTACATAAGCACCATGCTGCCACACCACTGGTCCAAGAAACAAACATTAGACATTGACACACTCCATGAGATTTGTGCTAATGTCTTTCCAAGCATCAGCCTTTAGGCTTGATGTGAGGCTGAGCTCTGGCCATCATTCCTTTCACGTCAGAGACTTTATGATGATGAACAGAATCTACATTTACTTAAATTAGTATATTGAGATATTACATAAATCAACAATCCCTCTCCCAACAAGGATAAAGTAGGATACTTTACAAATGAAACTGAATAAGCAGGATAGGCAAATTGGATGTGGAGTTAAATGTGTTTATTTGCCCAACAGGCTGTCTTCACAGATTTGGAAATCCTGGCGGCCATTTTTGCAGCTGCCATCCATGACGTTGATCATCCTGGAGTCTCCAATCAGTTTCTCATCAACACAAGTGAGTTCACCACCAGAACAGTCATTCCAGATAATTGTATGATTCACTGCTTAAGTTTTTTCCTCCTAATGTTTTCATTATGGATAATCACAAGGATAATAGTGAGGCAATCCTTCCATTCCTCTCAAACTGGTCAGGCCTTTCGTGGATACTCAGTCCAGTCTGGCAACACAATGTTTGAGCTGCTTGGAGAACTTGGAGAGGGTCATAGGGGAGCCATAAAAAGTACTCAAAGTTTGGCAAATACAATATGTAAGGAAAGAATAACAGATATGGAATTATTCGTAAAGAACAAGAAAAGGTTTGGTGATCCCATGATAATGACTTTTGATATTATACAAAACTCTGCACAGAACATAGTAACTCGCTACTGTCCCTATCTGCTTGGGAAGCAGCCACAGATGTTAAATCTGCACATGGGAACCTCCAAGCAAAAATAAGACGCTGTAAAAAGCACTGGAATGAGTTTCCACAGTTCAGAAGGAAGGGTCATTAAAAGTTCCACACATTTTCCTCCAACTGCATAGATTTGATTATGGATTGGGAGTAGCAATGACCTGAGTGACCAGGGGTGTCTAGCCTTAGGATCCCAAGCCATACTCGAAGCTTTTGTCATGCTTAAAATGTTTAGTTTTCACACCTTTGAAAATCCTTTCATTCTCTCAAATAATGCACTATCTCTAAGTGCTGGAAATCTAAGTAGTTTGAGAATATTGGTTATCCCAATGTGGTCATGAATAACATCAAGTACTGATAGTTTCCTAGAAATGCTTTTTGAGCTACTTGCTGCAAAAGAGTCCTGATCATCAGTCCTTGACCTTTATCCAAAGAATATCTGAATGACCTAGGTTTGGAGTACACTGGATTCTTTTACTTCATTCTTCTATTGAACAAACAAAATGTTGGGGCAGCTATGTGTCTGCATGGATTATATCAGTTGGTAGAGTGTGGTGTCATGAATCAATCCATATATAGGCCAGTTAGCCTCACACAGAAAAATGGTCTATCTACTACAGTCACCTATAGCACTGCAACATATAAAGCCTGCTTGTAGATTTGTGCCCTTGATCACAGGATGAACGAAACAAGAGTACTCATCGGAGATTAGTACTCAGAGCACACTATTAAAGCAATGATATATGTGTAACAGAACCTGCAAGTAACACATTGCCACCGCTTGTCTGGTATTCTTGATTAAAATGTGGTTTCATAAGTCTGATGACCATATTCCCAAGCAGACTTCTGTCTAACAAAAGATGCCTGTGATTCTTCTATATAAAAGGCAGGCTGGAAGCTGCAGCTTAGGTTTCCAGATATTGCAATTTCTTGTGGAGAGAGTAAAAAGACAGAAAATTTGACATCAGAATTGTTCCAAAAAAGTAGTAATGTATAGTATCATATGAACAGAAAGCTCTAAAAAGTGATGTTATTTGGGTAAAATGAAGTTTTACATCAAACATTATCTTTGACAATCCAAAATTCACAATTGCCAGGGATTAGGGAGCATATAAAATGTGAATATAGCTTGAAAATCTCATTACAATGCATAAAGTTTAGTGGTACTTTCATGTTGTTCTTTTCCAAAGTACAAAATTTTTGAAGACACATAAAAATAGGATTTAGCTGCTCAGGAATACCCTTACCTAATATTAAATTCTTCATCTGAGATATAGAATCAGTAAAAGGATTTAAAAAACAATGAATTTTAATCACAGAGAAATCGTATACACCAGTAGAAGCATTTTTTGCTTACAAACTGGCGACTTCTGTTTGTAGAGGGCCACTGCTTCTCTAAGAGGAAATGGCATGTGGCTGGTGGTTCTTGAAATAATTTGGAGAGAACTAGGTCTGATTTCACTTTGAGATAATGCCAACATTCAAATCATATCCCTTTTTAATTAAGTCATCATTTGGTCTGATTTTTTAGATTCAGAACTTGCTTTGATGTATAATGATGAATCTGTGTTGGAAAATCATCACCTTGCTGTGGGTTTCAAACTGCTGCAAGAAGAACACTGTGACATCTTCATGAATCTCACGAAGAAGCAGCGTCAGACACTCAGGAAGATGGTTATTGACATGGTAAGACTTGAGCCTCTCTACGTTCCTCACTTACTGCCGTTCTCTCTGATAGACTGAATTTATTAAAAGTTTTCATTTTCTTTTTACCCAAGGTGTTAGCAACTGATATGTCTAAACATATGAGCCTGCTGGCAGACCTGAAGACAATGGTAGAAACGAAGAAAGTTACAAGTTCAGGCGTTCTTCTCCTAGACAACTATACTGATCGCATTCAGGTATTTGATGACAGTCTTTGATTTAACACAAAACCACACCAAACTAAGCTGAACAACAATTAGAAAAAGAAAACAAAGATAAATGCAGTTTTTGGTATATCCTAGGCTACTCCTATAGCTTAGGGCTTAAGAACAAGCTAAGGAAAATGGACATTCAAGTTTATTATCCTCTAATTTATGAGGGAAAAAAATCTCTATTTGTGGAATTGCTTATTAGGTCTATAAATAAATTGCAAAATCTATTTGTAATAGGGCATACGTGACTGTTGGTTCCAAAAGCTTGTGTTTGGATTTAAATCCCATTGACTTGAAGTTTGTTAGGTTTGTTTTGGATATACAAATTGCCATCAGCTGTTCTCCTCTTTCCACAAGTGGAAAATATGAAGTTATCTACTTGGAGTAATTCTTTGCATTCTTTCCAAACTGAGAAAAGGAAATGATAGCAGCATCTGACCTCTAATGTTCCTTCCAATTTTTAAATTCAATGACTGTCAGTCTAAGAAGACACACATTTTCCCCTTTGGGACTCTATAAAGGTAAATAACTGACCCAGGCTAGCACCATTGTAATTCCATTTTTTTTTTTTTTTGGTGCATATGTCATAATTATAATGCAATTAAAATGTTCTAGGGTTTAGTACCAAGCGTACTAGTATGAGAAGGATGAGATGTTCTGGCAGTATTTACACCTAATTTTATGGGATTTCTAAAAATTGATGATTTCAGGTCCTTCGCAACATGGTGCACTGTGCAGACCTGAGCAACCCCACCAAGTCCTTGGAATTGTATCGGCAATGGACAGACCGCATCATGGAGGAATTTTTCCAGCAGGGAGACAAAGAGCGGGAGAGGGGAATGGAAATTAGCCCAATGTGTGATAAACACACAGCTTCTGTGGAAAAATCCCAGGTATCTAATATGATATTTTCAAAGTATTTGTGAGCTCTGCTGATTGTAGAGCTGGAGGGTTCTATTTAATTCCATTTTTCCAATAGACTATGTATATATGAGACGAGAAGGAGACAGTTACGCATTTTGTTCCATTATAGTCAGGACTCATGTGACTTCTCCATTACACTCAGTTTCACAGGGTGGGGATAAGTAGTCATCAGAAACCCATCAAAATTTGGATTACGTGTCCCTAAATCATTTAGATAGTTGTCTCTGATGTTTGCAAATCCAGCTGAATGATCTGAACACTGGTATCTGCTCCATCCCATCCCTCTGGATTTCTCCTTGCTCTGTCTTCATTCAAGAGCTCTGCTCCTCACCCTTGCTTCCAGTCCTCTGTTTGTATCTTCGTCCTTAATCAGCGCACTGCAACCATCACCAGAGGCAGTCTCTTTTAACGTATAGTCAAAGCCCTGTCTTGTGTTCCCTCCCGGGATGCTTCTATGCTTTTGAGAACATGCTGACATTTTCCAGTTGTGTCCAAAGCTTCACATTCTGTGTGTGCTTAGGATAGGGGACAATAGTCTGGAGGAGGTGAATACAGAAATGTCTAGATGCCAATAGCTGCAGAATATGCAGCAATGGACAGTATCAGTATCCACACAGTTTTTTTTCAAGAAAACGAATGGGCTGAGCCAAGTAGCTGAGATTGAGAATTAGTTCATAGACTGTCCAAGATCTTTATCCCAAAAACATTTGGATTGTTTATTTTCAGTATTTATCCTCTTTCCCTACTACCTGGAAACCCCAAATTTGCATATACTTGTAATATTAACGTACAGTTCCTTTGCAATTTTTATTTTGTTGCTTCTTAAACAAACTCAACTAAATGAGTTTTAAAAATCTGTGAAAGGGCTGGACACAGTGGCTCACACCTGTAATCCAGGACTACGGGAGGCTGAGGTGGGCGGATCACCTGAGGTCAGGAGTTCAAGACCAGCCTGGCCAACATGGTGAAACCTTGTCTCTACCAAAAACACACAAAAAATTGGCTGGGCATGGTGGTGTGTGTCTGTAGTCCCAGCTACTCGGGAAGCTGAGGCAGGAAAATCGCTTGAACCCAGGAGGCAGAGGTTGTAGTGAGCTGAGATTGTGCCACTGCATTCCAGCCTAGGCAACAGAGCAAGACTTCATTTCAAAAAAAAAAAAAAAAATCTGTGAAAGTGATCTGAAGTCTAATATGCTGTAAAAATGCAAGTTAACATTGTTAATGAGGGTCAATTCAAATAGCCCAAAGGCTTAAGTGGAACAAGATATGAATCAGTAAGGAGGAATAACACCATTTTATTAATAGCAGTGATGTTTTATGTTTATATGATGTTCTGTGCAGCATTTCACACATTTTCCATATATTATCTTACTTGGACCCCCAAACAGCCTTGCAAAATAGATAAAGCAGATATTTCTCCAGCATGTCAGGTTCAAAGCTGTCCTTTTGGTCCACTACAACAGCTCTCTCATCCAAAGCTCTTCACTCTCCATCTTAGGGACAGGTCTTCCTGTTGCCATAACATCGTTATCCACTCTGGTGTTTCCCACCGATGGGCTCTACTGAACACTGTCTGATTGGCCCACCAGTAAAGCTCTTTACTGGGTGCTCTCAGGATTCATACAGCTCTCTCGTCCTGTGATCTAGGGAATAAATAGCAGCTACCTTGCAAAAAAATTCTCAGCATTTCTTAGCAGAAGCAAAACAAGTGAAGAAAGGAAATGACTGCGCTGTGTTCAGCTTATTCAATTTTCTCCATTACCTTGAGCTTGTTATTTTGGGTCCCTGGAAAACACCTTGAAAATAGTCTGTAACATTCATTAAGTAAAGAAGTAAAAGGGAGGGAAAAGGAGGGGGTGGAAGTGAGAGAAATATCTGAATCATGTATGATCGAGTTTTTATAACCAGTGTAGATCAGAGATGCCCTGATTTTGCTGTGAATCTTGCTTTTTAAGGCTAGGAAAGCACCAGAAAGAAGAATAAGAAAATATATATATATATATACACACACAGACATCATATATATATATTTTATATATGAAAGAGTCACATATGACCAAAGTTCTTGTGTACAGTACAACTTGGATGTATTAAATGACTGGCCAAATACCAACATATTAATAAAGGGAAGTTTCCAGTAGTGTGGAAAGAGACCTATATAATGTCCCATGGGTGGGTGCCCTTTGCCCATCTACCCCTAAATCCCAACCTAGCATCTCTCTAGCTCCCCAGACCATGGCAGGGGAATTCCCTTCTCTCATTCAGCTAGTGCCTATTCTTTCTCTCTACTTGTCCCCACCCCCAGTGTTTCCTGTTTGTCCAACAATGAGGAGGCCAGCGTAAGGCCACACTGCTAGCTCATGCAGGATGCATAGCCCCTGAGTAAACCATAACAGAGCCATAAGCCTGGTATTTAATCACAGGAACACCAGCAAAAGGAACTGCTTAATTGTTTTTTATTTTCCCTTCTTTCTCTTGATGGAAATGACTGTGTGCTCTATAGATCCAAAACAATTGCATGAATGTCCATCGAGGGGATATGTGTTTCTTTCAGGGCTTAAAGTATTTTCACGTGTTTCATCAAACTCCTCTACCAGCCAAAAGCATTCCACAGAACTTGAGAAATTACAGAGTAGTCAGGAGCCAGATCCTCATCACTTTGGAATAGCAACATAGTTTAAAGTTAGCAAGGAAAAAATATTGAGTCAAAACACGTTAGACCTGGGCCTGCCTTCTTCAGAAAATGACTCACAGAATCCAAGTAGTGACAGAGTCGTGCTTTGTCTTTGGGTCCCTGGAAAACACGAGGATTCCATCCAGACTTCTTATCTGGCGCACGTAAAAGGAAATGCAGTCTGTTGTAGTGAGATGAACACAGGTTTTGGGATCAGACAAAGCTGGGGCTGAGTTCCAGCTCCACCACTCACTAGTTATGTGACCTCTGACAAGATATTTAATCTCAGTAAGTCGTAGTTTCTGCCTTTCTAAATAATATACAGCAATACTTACTTTTCAGGATTAAGAGAGAATACATCAATTGCATTCAGTGTAAGACCCACCGTATAGTGAGTGCCCAAATCATGGAATCCATTATGATTGATCTTTCTGGTTATTCATGTTCTTTCTTTGCATGGAAACCAGGACACTGTGTTTACTTTTCAAGCACCATCACAATAACAGATGTGTAATCTTATTTTTCTCCAGGTTGGTTTCATCGACTACATTGTCCATCCATTGTGGGAGACCTGGGCAGATTTGGTACAGCCTGATGCTCAGGACATTCTCGATACCTTAGAAGATAACAGGAACTGGTATCAGAGCATGATACCTCAAAGTCCCTCACCACCACTGGACGAGCAGAACAGGGACTGCCAGGGTCTGATGGAGAAGTTTCAGTTTGAACTGACTCTCGATGAGGAAGATTCTGAAGGACCTGAGAAGGAGGGAGAGGGACACAGCTATTTCAGCAGCACAAAGACGCTTTGCGTGATTGATCCAGAAAACAGAGATTCCCTGGGAGACACTGACATAGACATTGCAACAGAAGACAAGTCCCCAGTTGATACATAATCCCCCTCTCCCTGTGGAGATGAACATTCTCCCCTTGATGAGCATGCCAGCTATGTGGTAGGGCCAGCCCACCATGGGGGCCAAGACCTGCACAGGACAAGGGCCACCTGGCCTTTCAGTTACTTGAGTTTGGAGTCAGAATGCAAGATCAGGAAGCAAAGAGCAGCTCAGGAAATCCCACGGTTGACTTGCCTTGCTGGCAAGCTTGGTGGAGAGGGCTGAAGCTGTTGCTGGTGGCCGGTTCTGAGCAAGACACATGGCTTGAAAATGGAAGACACAAAACTGAGAGATCGTTCTGCACTAAGTTTCGGGAACTTATCCCCGATAGTGACTGAACTCACTGACTAATAACTTCATTTATGAATCTGCTCACTTGTCCCTTTGTCTGCCAACCTGTGTGCCTTTTTTGTAAAACATTTTCATGTCTTTAAAATGCCTGTTGAATACCTAGAGTTTAGTATCAACTTCTACACAGACAAGCTTTCAAAGTTGACAAACTTTTTTGACTCTTTCTGGAAAAGGGAAAGAAAATAGTCTTCCTTCTTTCTTGGGCAATATCCTTCACTTTACTACAGTTACTTTTGCAAACAGACAGAAAGGATACACTTCTAACCACATTTTACTTCCTTCCCCTGTTGTCCAATCCAACTCCACAGCCACTCATAACTTCTCTCTGTTTGCTTGCCTTCAACAATACTTTTTCTCCTCTGGAGTTTAACTTTTTGCTGTAAACAGAATAAAATTTAACAAATTAGGGGGTAGAAAGGAGCAGTGGTGTCGTTCACCATAAGAGTGTGCATAGCACTAAGCAGTGTGCCCTGCTGTGTCTTGGACCCTGCCCCTGACAGGAGTTGTACAGTCCCTGGCCCTGTTCCCTACCTCCTCTTTTCACCCAGTTACGCTGTTTTCAATGTAATGCTGCCGTCCTTCTCTTGCACTGCCTTCTGCGCTAACACCTCCATTCCTGTTTATAACCGTGTATTTATTACTTAATGTATATAATGTAATGTTTTGTAAGTTATTAATTTATATATCTAACATTGCCTGCCAATGGTGGTGTTAAATTTGTGTAGAAAACTCTGCCTAAGAGTTACGACTTTTTCTTGTAATGTTTTGTATTGTGTATTATATAACCCAAACATCACTTAGGAGAGACATACGGCCCCCTTGGCAGAGAGGACAGGGGTGGGCTTTTGTTCACAGGGTCTGCCCTTTCCCTGCCTGAGTTGCTACTTCTGCACAACCCCTTTATGAACCAGTTTTGGAAACAAGATTCTCACATTAGATGCTAAATGGTTTATACTGAGCTTTTACTTTTGTATAGCTTGATAGGGGCAGGGGGCAATGGGATGTAGTTTTTACCCAGGTTCTATCCAAATCTGTGCGGGCATGAGTTGGGTTATAACTGAGTCCTACTATCATTGTGGCTTTGGTTCAAAAAGCAACACTACATTTGCTCACAGATGATTCTTCTGAATGCTCCCAAACTACTGACTTTGAAGAGCTAGCCTCCTGCCTGCCATTAAGCAGGAATGTCGTGTTCCAATTCATTACAAAAGAAAACAATAAAACAATGTGAATTTTTATAATAAAATGTGAACTGATGTAGCAAATTATGCAAATGTGAAGCCTCTTATGATAACACTTGTTAGGCCTCTTACTGATGTCAGTTTCAGTTTGTAAAATATGTTTCATGCTTTCAGTTCAGCATTGTGACTCAGTAATTACAGAAAATGGCACAAATGTGCATGACCAATGGGTTTGTGTGTCTATGAACACTGCATTGTTTCAGGTGAACATTTGATCGTTTTCAAACGTTTCTCACAATGTATGTTATAGTATTATTATTATATATTGTGTTCAAATGCATTCTAAAGAGACTTTTATATGAGGTGAATAAACAAAAGCATGATTAGATTAGTCTGTAGGCCCACTTATTTCATGATTAGTTCTGACATATGAAAAGCAGATCTTTCTCTTCTCTTCTGCCATTCCCCACAAAGAAAGCCAACCACTTTGTCCAGCCAGCATCACAACTGAAGTTTCAGAATCTATGTCCAAAAAGTCCCCCAGTTTGGAACATTTCACTTTTTTCTTAGCAACTGTTCGACCCAGCTCAATGATGCAGGAAGGGGGTTGAGGAAGGAAAACAAACAAAACCACTTTGCTCATCTCGAACCATTTCCTTCTACCTCTTTAAGAGTCTGAAGTGCTTAATCTACTAGATAAATAAAGGGAATCCCCAACTTGGCTGAATCCTCTAGAAAACTGAATCATAGATTATAGAACATTAGTATAATGCAGTCAGAGAGTCCCATTGATTCATTTGACACATGAAGAATCTAAGGTCCAAAGAGTCATCTTCAACCACAACCCACAGAGCATGGGTGGACACTCACGGTTTTCTCAGTGATCCATGCAGCTTCTTGTTGGTCATATGGCTATGATTTTCTTTCTGGAAAGAACTGTTTATATATAAGAAAAATACTTAAATGCTTTGTTGAAATCTTAAAGTCAGCGTTTTAAAATATTTTATCCTGAGAAGAAGAGTATGTGTGTGTGTGTGTGTGTGTGTGCGCGCGCGTGCGCGCGCGCACGCACCTGTGTGTTTGTTGCCGAAGCTTGCAAACAAGAATCAGTGTTGGCCCATAATAATTTAGCCACAAGGGAGTGCTCTGTGAACCAGTAAGATGGTCTTCTCTAAACACAGCTGAAATTAAAATGAGCCGACACTGCAGAACCAGCTTGCCTGCTAGTTGCAGAGCTATTTCCAACATTTTCCATCATCTCTGATTTCTGATTGTGCCTCACCATCTCTGAGAGTTTGAAATTGAGCAAAATAAAGTGCTTACAATAGCCACAGGTGTGACTTGTGTAATGCCTGGTGCTATAAATATTTACAGGTCTGTTTTCTACTGGTAAGAGGTTCTTAATTAACCCTTATTGCAAATAAGAATCATGTTGGAAATCAATATTTTTAAAAATACTTGTTTGGGGCCCATCCTCCTCCCAGATTTCTGATTGAATTGACCTTGGGTGAAGCCCTGGGCATCAGATTTTAAAAATTTCCCCCAGGCTGGAGTGCAGTGGCACAATCTCGGCTCACTGCAACCTCTACCTCCCAGGTTCAAGCAATTCTTGTGCCTCAGCCTCCCATGTAGCTGGGACTACAGGCACGTGCCACCCCATGTGTCTAATTTTTTGTATATTAGAGATGGGGTTTCACCACGTTGCCCAGGCTGGTCTCAAACCCCTGAGCTCAGGCAATCCGCCCACCTCAGCCTCCCAAAGTGCTAGGATTACAGGCACGAGGCACTGCGCCCAGTCTCTCCCCAGGTAATCCTAATGTGCAATTGAAGTAGAGATCCACTGCTCTGAAACAGAAAATCATGCCTGCAGCTGAGGTGTTCTTTCAACCCCACTGTCATCAGATATTCATTGTGCACTCATCATGGCCAGCATATCATGCCCAATGTAGCTATTTTAAACAGTAATTTTTGTTACATCCCAGTTTTATCTTACCGGCTGACTTCTAACTAACTTCTAGGTAAGATGAAACTGTACGATTTCACTAGTTTCCTATCGGAAGTCTCAAGAACCAGGCCAGACCTCAGGCATCCAAGCTAACTAGACCCTTCATGAGTGCAGAAATCATACCTAGTACTTTCTCCTCCATTTCCATGATGCCTAGCATCATACCTGGCACAGCGTTCATGCTTAAACATTTGTTTCATCAATCTGGATGTTGATGATGTAAAATTTCAATTAACAGGAAGATCAGAAGAATGCACATTCTAGGCAATTTAACTTTCAGCTTCTCTCACTTGATCGTAATGATCTGTTTTCAGATGTCTCTCCACCCAGCACTGAACCCTCTCCAAGATAGAACAATGTTTTTTGCCTGGTCTCTTTTTTAACCTTTGTATTCTTCATCAACAAACAGTATACCAGCCCTAAGCGAAAGGAGAACTGGTGATGTTTGTTGAGCTAATGACCCAAGAAATAAGTAGAACCCTTTTATTGAAATTACTTGTGAAATTGGATCTACTTGATTTTCTTGCTGAAGGAGTAGAGTACACTGGGAAAAGCATAGTTTGACAAACCTGTGTTCCAAGCCTTTTCCTGTACCTTCCTACCTATGGGGATTTGGACAAATTTCTTAAATTTTTGAGCCTAAATGTTCTCATCATTAAATGGAGCTAACAATAGACAGCCAAAGATGAAATCAGGCATAGTGTTACATACAGTAGAAGCTCAATAAATCTTTGTTATCTAAGTGTATGTACTCATGGATGAAGGGATTGATTAATATTTAAAAACTTGTAAAAATCACCTCTAAAAGCAGAAGGCAGCAACACATTTTGATTAGTTTAGGGTTCTTGAAATCAAGTTCCAGTTAATCTAGATTTTTCTACATAAACTTCAAGATTCTGGGAGGATGAGTGCCGTCACTTCAACCCATCATATGGGACTATGCTGACACTGATAGGCTCATTGAGTTGGAAGAAAACATGTAAATCATATTATTCTTCCTCTTCAATGCTATAGAATCCCTCCAAAAATATACCTAATTGAAAGCATCAGGAAATAGATAACTCAGCAAGGCCTTTTGAAATAATGGAAATTACGAGGTTTCTGGGAATCAAAGTGTACTCTTCTAGAGCAGCCTTTCTTGTTTGATTTTTTAAAACATTTCTAGCTAAATATTGTATGTAATTCCTCCTCTAATTTCTTGTTCCAATTGAAAATAGGAGCCAGACTTTTTGACTATGTGACCTTGGGAAAGTTTATATGGCCTCTCTGCACCTCAATTTCCTCATCTATAAATAGAAGTAATAATAGCAGCACCTATTTAATAAGATTATCTTGAGAATTATATTAATTAAAGCTGTAAAATAGTAAAAATAGTGTCTGGCTCATAATATGCATGAACAAATGTTAACTATATATAGCTAAAGGTAGCATGCTTTCTACATTGTAGCTCCTTCAACCAACCATTATGCATATGACTTGTCTTCATCATTATGGTCAAATTATTCTGGGCTTGTTCAAATAGACAGTGCTCTTTTAGGATGAGTGCCTCGGAAGCAAGCACCATACTTCACTCATGGTGGGGCACAGTGTGATTCTTGCCCTTCTCTGTTCTCTACTCTGTTCTATAATCCAAGATTGCATTCATTTGGAGGGATGTCAGGGACTCACCCGGATAATTCATAAGATGCTTACAGGCAAACAAAACACTTCATACCTTTTCACATGAACCACTGTTAAACTAAATCTTCTCCACTTTGTTCTTATACAACTAAGTTTCTGAATTTCAGGGCAGAATTTATACTTCTCTGATACATTTCATCTGAAAAACAAGTAGGGTATAAGAAAGAGGGTTTTCAGTTTGAGTGTCAGATTGACCTATTTGTAAATCCCAGCTCCAGAATTACCTGTACAACCTCATAGAAGGTATGCAATTTATTTTACCTTCAGTTTCCTTTTCTGAAGAAGAAATATCTTATATATAGTTATTAATATCTAATTAATATGGATGAATTATATATAACTCTGAGGTGATATAGAAAATCATGGAGGCTGAGATATATATCAACAATATACGATGTTATAAGTATAGGATTATTATATATATAAAAGTACGACTACCATAACATACTATAAGTCAATAAAACACATAGATAATATATATTAGAATATATATAAATATAAGTACAACGATATAAGATGATAGTAATATAAAAATATAATGTTTGGAGGCCGGGGCAGTGGCTCATGCCTGCAATCCCAGACTTTGGGAGGCTGAGGTGGGCAGATCACCTGAGATCGGGAGATCGAAACCAGCCTGACCAACATGGAGAAACTCCCTCTCTGCTAAAAATACAAAATTAGCCAGGCGTGGTGGTGCACACTTGTAGTCCCAGCTACTCGGGAGGCTGAGGCAGGAGAATCTCTTGAACCCGGGAGGCAGAGGTTGCAATGAGCTGAGATCGCACCATTGCACTCCAGCCTGGGCAACAGGAGCAAAACTCTGTCTCAAAAAAAAAAAAATTTGGAAGGCAAAGGTAAGCATCTAGCACATTCAGGGCATACAATAAATAAGGGTTATTAGTCATATTAATACCCTACTATGATGATTAAATGAGATAATATCTATATGGGAAAAATCCTCATACTATTGTTTTAATTCATTATTTTTGGCCTAAAAATTATTTTGAATTCTCATCCTCATAGCTCACAAACTATGTCCTTCCTACCAGAATTTATTATCTATAGATAATAATGTATTTTATATTTTTATTTACACTTTAGTAAAATGTTAACCAGAACAAGACAAGGAATGGATATGTGTTAAGCTGCCAAAAGTCTGTCTGTCTCATCAGCATTGATCTATTAGTCAATGTTCCATGGGCAATGGCACTAAGTCAATTATAAATTCACCTACGTATACCATCACCTAGGTCAGTCTGGACAAAAACATATCAGGAAAAATGTAATCAAAGACTTTTCTGAAATTCAGATATACCTTATCTAAAGCATTTGCCTTCTTAGTATAATCTATTAGCCCTAACTATCTGATAAAAGAAACTATGATAGCATGACTTGTCCTTGGGGAATTAATGCTAGTTACTGCCCTCGCAAATGGCCTACAAACCATGAGATAATAATCCATTTCAGAATTTTGCATACAATTGATGTCATGCTTGACATTTTGTAGTGCTGGACTCTTTCTTTCTAAAGAGTGGGAAAATACTTGCCTATCACACCCCCCCAGATTTCTGGTCTGTTTTGTGTTCTCTTTGATTTCTGATAGATCACCAATTATAAGCCAAAAACACATTGAAAAGCCCTTTCAATATCGTGGGAAATCATATGCCTAGAAACATGAAACTACTTAAAGAACAGAGATGC